GCACATGTTGTTTGAAAGACTATTTACTTATTATTATTTTCCCATTTAATTCTAGCACATTAAGTGGCTGTGTCCAGTATGATTGAAATGTAAAGTGTGTATCATCCTAATTAAAGAGATAGTTTACCCAAAAATGAAAATCATTTACTTCCTTTATGTCGTCTACATGTGACAAACCTGTTGGTTTTGATTACCAGAATTCTTCAAAGTATCTTCTTTTGAGTTCTGCAGAAAAACAAAAGTCAGGGGTTTGAAAAAAAAAAAATGAGGGGGAATTGATGTAATAATGTAAATGATGACAGAATTCTGGGTTAACTATACTTTTAAGTAAATTAGTAGAAACACTTTTCGCTAGTTATCACTGTGCAGAAAAATAACAGTGAATGCAACAATAAAATGCTTGAAAAATACACATGCAATAGATCCATAGCTTCCTGTTGGTCAGTTTGTCTCCTCAGTTAAGATTCCCCCAATTATTGCAGAAAACATGATATTACATAGTATAATCATGGCCAGTGCAGACATGTACTTGAACTTACTTTCTCATTAAACAACTAAAAATAAATTTAGACAGCCTTTGCACACAGGCTTATGTGGAAAACAACAAAATTGAACCTCAAGGTTGATCTAGGAAAATGTGTGCAAATGTATAGGGCCCCATTCCTATATTTGGCCCCCAATTCACTTAATCCGCCCCTGTGTGTATGTATAGTCCAGTATTGAACTGTTGGAGTTAAAGTGCAGTGTGTGGCATACCGTATTGTGGGAGTATGCTGTAGGGTGTATTAGTTCTGACTGCTCATTAGTCTGATAGCCTGAGGGGAAAAGCTATCCCTCAGTCGGCTAGTGCGCGATCGGATGCTGCGGAGACGTCCTCCTGAGGGCAGCAGAGAGAGCAGTCTGTGGGATGGGTGGCTGGAGTCACTGATGATTCTCCGGGCTTTCCTTATACACCGCCTGGTGTAGATGTCCTGGAGGGAGGGAAGCTCACCTCCAACAATGTGGCGGGCAGTTCGCACGACCCTTTGTAGAGCTTTGCGGTTGCCAGCAGTGCTGTTTCCAAACCAGGCAGTGATGCAGCCAGTCAGGATGCTCTCCACAGTGCAGGTGTAGAATGTTCTGAGGATGCTGGGGCTCATGCCAAACTTCCTCAGCTGTCTCAGGAAGAAGAGGCGTTGATGTGCCTTCTTCAGCACTGCATCAGTGTGTGTAGACCATGTGAGATCCTCACTAATGTGACCGCCGAGGAACTTAAAGCTGTTTACCCGCTCCACAGGTGTCTTGTCGATGGTGATGGGTGTGTGTTCTCTGCTCTGTCTCCTGAAATCCACCACCAGCTCCTTGGTCTTATCGATGTTGAGAGAGAGAGATGATTCTCCTGACACCATTTAGTCAGGGTGCTCACCTCTTCTCTGTAGGCCTTCTCATCGTTGTCGGTGATCAGGCCTATCACCGTTGTGTCGTCAGCGAATTTGATGATGACGTTGGAGCTGTGTGTGGCTGCACAGTCATGTGTGTACAGGGAATACAGGAGTGGGCTGAGGACGCAGCCCTGAGGAACACCAGTGTTGAGGGTCAGCGGGGATGAAGTATTGTTGCCCATTCTGACCACCTGACTTCTGCCTGTCAGGAAGTCCAGGATCAAGCTGCACAGAGATCTGTTTAGTCCCAGAGTCTGGAGCTTCGCAACAAGTGTGGCAAGCACTATGGTGTTAAATGCTGAGCTGTAGTCCACAAACAGCATTCTCACATAGGTGTTCTTATTTTCCAGGTGGGAGAGAGGAGTGTGTAGGGTGAAAGCAATAGCATCGTCTGTAGAACGGTTGCTACGATATGCAAATTGTAGCGGATCCAGTGAGGCAGGCAGCACAGAGCAGATGTAGTCTCTGACTTAGTCTCACTGGCTGAAGATGGGTGTAAGAGCAACGGGCCTCTAGTCATTCAAGCGTGTGATTTTATTTTTCTTTGGTATGGGCACAATGGTGGATTAGCCACTTCTGACATCAAAAAATACTTTAAAATGACTTGGAAAAATTAAAGCTTCTTATACTGCTTAAAGATCCCATGCTTTCTTTCTTAAATAAAAGTAAAATAAATAAAATCATTTTGTTTGTGTATTTATTAGTGCTGTCAATCGATACATTTTTTAAAAACTAATTAATCGCACATTTTTCTAAAATTAATCGCGATTAATCCCACCTAACATTAAAGTTTTTAAATATACTTTTATATTGCAATAATTTCACATTCAATCTTCAAATTAATGTACAAACAACATAAAGACAGTATATATATATTTTTTTATATTTGTTTAATGGCATCTTTTTTTATGACTGAAGGCCAGTATCAATGAGACCAATACTGATTTCTCTATAAAATTGCACCCCCCCCAATATTTAACCATTGACTATAGCCATTCAACATTACAGTATAATTGAGAGCTATCAATTTTAACATTTATTAGACTTTAAAAAATAACTTCTAATTGCTAATTGATAGTCGTGGCCTAATGGTTAGAGAGTCGGACTCATAACCCAAAGGTTGCTATTGCTGCACATGTCACGTCACACTTTTTTTTTTTTAATTTAAGTGAACTTAAAACAATCTTCACATAAACCCATTATAATAAATGTCATATTTACCCGTGCCCTTCAGCAGAAATATACAGAAATTGAAACTAAAGTTATCAAACACTAAATTAAATATAGATGAATCCTTAAAGCTATAAAAGTGATTTTTTTCCTCTTTTTTTCTTTGTCCTTTGATTAATAGACATCACAGCAGCTGGTTATTAGGTTGTTTTGGCTGTTATTTCTTTAAGAGTTTCTTCTGCTGAACGTGAATCATTCATTCATTCATTCAAACATTAGTTTTTATAATGTGATGTATTTCTGAATTAAACAATTATAAGAAAAATCATTAATTAATTCATTCATTCAAACATTAGTTTTTATAATGTGATGTATTTCTGAGTTAAACAATTATAAGAAAAATCATTAATTAATTCATTCATTCAAACATTAGTTTTTATAATGTGATGTATTTCTGAATTAAACAATTATAAGAAAAATCATTAATTAATTCATTCATTCAAACATTAGTTTTTATAATGTGATGTATTTCTGAATTAAACAATTATAAGTAAAATCATTCATTCATTCATTCATTCAAACATTAGTTTTTATAATGTGATGTATTTCTGAATTAAACAATTATAAGTAAAATCATTCATTCATTCATTCATTCAAACATTAGTTTTTATAATGTGATGTATTTCTGAGTTAAACAATTATAAGAAAAATATTTTTATGTATGTATGTATTTATTTATTTATTTATTAAAACTTCAATTTTTGTATTGTGATGTATTTCTGAATTAAGCAATAATGATTAAGTGAAATCATGGAGATGGGACTTGATTTTATTTATTTTAATTGGATCTTTAAAAGTGGGCTGTAATATTATTGGTTTATACATATACAAATATTTTAGCATGGCTTTGAATACATCAGCAGAAGGAAAATTTATTTCAGAGAGTAAAAAAATGTGCTGTATTTTTTTAAATCATGAAAACAAACCACTTTACTATTTTTTTTAAATTAGTACACACTGATGAATTGCACACCATTTGACCAGAGACATTTTTTTTGTTTTTTTTTAAACCGGTGCATAGAAATGATTTTACTGATTAAAAGATTGAATACGTGTATCCAGGAATCAGCACAATCTAATGCATGGTATCTGTGTTGATTCAGGTGAAGCTGTGGCGCGTGTGTGATCCGGATCAGGATCAGTGCAGTAATGCTGAGGTGACTCTGAGCCCCGCTGATGGGCGTCTGGAGGTCGTCCTCTTCCACCCCGCGGCCTCAGGGCTGCTCGCCGTGGCGTCTGTGAGGGGCCTTCAAGTGTGGGACGTCACACGAGACGCCGCACTCACAGGTAAACACACACCAGTGCATTCAGACCGGCAACCATCACTGCCAGATTTAGTCTCGTCTTCAATTACCTTACTTTAAGTGTACACTTAAGCCCTATTCAGACGCTAATTGTTTTTCATGAGTTTGATGCATTTCTAGTTTTATTTATTTATTTGTTTAAAATCCATTTTTTATTTTTATTTATTCTTATCAATTTATTTTTTATTAATTTATGTATTTTTATTTGTTTTAATGTAGTTTTTAAAATGTACTTTAAATTATTTTTTATAACTAATGTTATAATGTATTTTTAACTAACTAAATATATTTTTAGCTATTTTTAACTAACTGTTTTGTTTTTTGTTTTATTTATTTTAATGTATTTTTAAAATGTACTTATTTTTATTTACTTTTCATTTATTTTTATGTACATTTTAATTTACATTTTTATTTACTTTAAATATATTTTAAATATTTTCGTTAATTTTCTTTATTATAATTTTTTTATTTAATTTAATTTTAAATTCCAAATTTATTTCTATTTATTTCATTTATTATTATTATTATTATTTAGCTGAATTGAAAATGTTTTTTTCCCCTCACAAATATGAGCCAAATGACTTGCTGTTTTTTTAACAGGCAACAAGATTGTGCTGTAAGTTAATTCACATTGTAGGTGCAAAAATCAATTTCAATATTACAATATACAATTTTTACAAAATGTTCAAATGGTGTCGTCCAATGACAGATCATCGTCTGAAGTATTGCGTTGTAATCGGTGTCTGAATAAGGCAGTTCATGAGGGTTTTGTCTGCGGCTTCTGTGTCTCCTCGATGAGTTTTTTGTTTGTTTTGTCTCTGTGTGTTTGGTTTGATCTGCGAGCCTCTGGTGGTTTCCAGGGCTGTGTTTGTTACGGTCCTCTGGGGTCCAGCGTGGAGCGGCTGAGGTAAATGTTTGAGCTCAGGAGCCCCTCAGAGCTTCGGGCCGCGTGGCCCCGGAGCCCCATGATGGCTGCTGGTGCTGCTCAACCTCACATCTCTCTTCACTGTCTGCCTTCATCTGCTGTCATGCGCTTGAGTCCCTGTTAGCCGAGGCTCATTCACTCTGTCACTCCAAACAAAACCAATCCAGCACCGCATAACTGGATCTCTGGCAACATGGGAAATGTTACATTGGCAAATAACTGAAATAAATATTTTATCTTATTTTATTCTATTAATTATTTTAATTTTAGTTAACTATGATAACTATAGAATTTATTTATCTATTTTTCCTCAATAGTTTTGACAAAACAGACATATCAAATAGAATTGAATAGAATAAATAAAACTAATAAACTATCAGGGTTATATTAGTATTATTTGCATACTATAGTATTGTATACTATTTATTATTAAAATAAATGTTTAAAAACAAATTATTTTTTTATTTTATTTTATTTTTTGATTTATTTATTATTTTATAATATATATATATATAAATAGTTTTTTATTGTTATTCATTCATTCATTCATTCATTTTTTTATATTTATGATTTATTCGTTTTATTTTTATGTATTTTTTATTCATATTATTTTTTTTATTAATTTATATATTATTTAAACATTACATAACTGGACTTCTGAGAAACTGAGAAATTGCATTGGCAAATAGCTGAAATAAAATAAAATACTTAAGCTTAAATACTTAAATATGTAAGTTAACATTTATTGTATTATTTGTATGCGGTTATATTAGTATTTTGACTAGGGCTGCGCGATTGACAAAAATCATAATTGTCGATTATTCCTTTGAAATTGTAATGTGATTATTAATTTATGATTAAATGATTGATGTTTACACCTTTGTTTGAAGCAACTGCATGCCGTATTTTTATATGAAAATAAACAAGTTAAAAACACTAACTGAAAAACCTTTAGTGCTTTTCTATAGTATTAAGCTTCAAATGTCAAATATACATCGGATTGGTTTCTTCTTTAAATTACAAAAAAGTAAAAATATGAATTGTATTGTAATGTTATAGTAAAACTAAAATTAAAACAATGGAAAAACCCTTAAGATAACATGTAGAAAGAAAAAACACATCTTAAGCACGCAGAATAACATAAGTGGACTTTGAACGATTAATTGCCGCTTTGAACGATTACATAATTGTAGCATCCATAATTGTAATCGCGATTAGAAATTTGATGAATTGTGCAGCCCTAGTAGACAGTCATTCAGTTTTGCAATGCCTTGAGAGTGAGTTAAGGATGTTTGTATTTACTTAAGCTTAAATACTTAAATATGTAAGTTAACATTTATTGTATTATTTGTATGCGGTTATATTAGTATTTTGACTAGGGCTGCGCGATTGACAAAAATCATAATTGTCGATTATTCCTTTGAAATTGTAATGTGATTATTAATTTATGATTAAATGATTGATGTTTACACCTTTGTTTGAAGCAACTGCATGCCGTATTTTTATATGAAAATAAACAAGTTAAAAACACTAACTGAAAAACCTTTAGTGCTTTTCTATAGTATTAAGCTTCAAATGTCAAATATACATCGGATTGGTTTCTTCTTTAAATTACAAAAAAGTAAAAATATGAATTGTATTGTAATGTTATAGTAAAACTAAAATTAAAACAATGGAAAAACCCTTAAGATAACATGTAGAAAGAAAAAACACATCTTAAGCACGCAGAATAACATAAGTGGACTTTGAACGATTAATTGCCGCTTTGAACGATTACATAATTGTAGCATCCATAATTGTAATCGCGATTAGAAATTTGATGAATTGTGCAGCCCTAGTTTTGACTAAGCTCTTAATTTTCTTTTTAATAATTGTTTTTTTTATGTTTGTATTTTTTACAAATTTTTTCAGTTCTGCAGAAATTTTTTTTAAATTCTCTTCAGTTTTTACTTTTATTTCAGTTTTAATTTGAGTCGTTTTAGTACAAATCCGATTCCAAAAAAGTTGGGACACTGTACAAATTGTGAATAAAAACAGAATGCAATGATGTGGAAGTTTCAAATTTCAATATTTTATTCAGAATACAACATGGATGACATATCAAATGTTTAAACTGAGAAAATGTATCATTTTAAGGGTAAAATAAGTTGATTTTAAAATTTCATGGCATCAACACATCTCAAAAAAGTTGGGACAAGGCCATGTTTACCACTGTGTGGCATCCCCTCTTCTTTTTATAACAGTCTGCAAACGTCTGGGGACTGAGGAGACAAGTAACTCCTTTCTGATATTGCTCCACTATTTTTCGCCGCAGCATTGGGGGAATTGGTGATCCTCTGCCCATCTTGACTTCTGAGAGACACTGCCACTCTGAGAGGCTCTTTTTATACCCAATCATGTTGCCAATTGACCTAATAAGTTGCAAATTGGTCCTCCAGCTGTTCCTTATATGTGCATTTAACTTTTCCGGCCTCTTATTGCTACCTGTCCCAACTTTTTTGGAATGTGTAGCTCTCATGAAATCCAAAATGAGCCAATATTTGGCATGACATTTCAAAATGTCTCACTTTCAACATTTGATATGTTATCTAAATTCTATTGTGAATAAAATATAAGTTTGTAAATTATTCCATTCCTTTTTTACTCACAATTTGTACAGTGTCCCAACTTTTTTGGAATTGGGTTTGTACTTGAACTTATATAGTTTCAGTTAGTTGCCAAGGCAAGATTTCTAAACACAATTTGCTAATTAGTTTGGTCTATAATTAGCTGATTGTTTGGTCTGAATGTCTAGTTTCACCTCGGCGGGTCTCTGAGATGTGTTTGGCGAGTCACATCAGCTTTTCTCCGCACACTGGTTTGCATCGGCAGACTCTCCTAACACACACACGAGATTCCCAGCACTGTCACGCTTCTCTGTGTGTCCTCATTGATATCATCGCATGTGTTTGCTGTCTGAGGGCTTGTAAACTTGTTCATCACATGGATGTGTGTGTGTGTGTGTGTGTGCAGTACTGGAGCAGCATGAGGATCAGCTGCAGGGTTTGGCCTGGAAGGAAGACGGATCCCTGCTGGCTTCATCCTGCAAGGTAAGTGCTCTCCACAGCAACATTTTACCAGCGTGAAAAAAGTGATGGTTTGTAGACAGCAGGAGAAATCAGTGCTAAATGCAAATAATAAAATGCAGCTGTAATTGTGAGTAGTTAGCATAGCTGTAAGCAGCAGAGAAACTCCCCGCTTCTTCTGTTGTTGACCTTCTGTCAGAAGTGACCTGTTTTACCATGTTGTGAATATTTAGCATTGAAAGAATTGTTCAGTGTTATTAAGTATCATCCAGATACAATTATAGTTGTTATGAATATTTTTAATTACTTTTGATTTTTTTTTCCTTTTTTTTAAAATCATTTCTATTTTCATGTTAATTTTAGTTAAAGTAATAGTAGTTTTTTTTTCTTTTTACAAAATATTTCATAATTTCATAGTTTTTTTTTAATGCATCAAGTTCAACTAAATGAAAATGGGTAATGTGGCTTTGGCAAATAAATTATAAATGAAATGTTTATTTCATTTCGAGTAACACATTTATTTATTTTTTTTTAAATGTTTTTTGTTTAGTTTTATTGTTTGAATTTTTATCTTTAACTGTAATAATTCTGCAATTTATGTCTTTTAGTTTTGGTCAAAACGGATGAATTGAGTAGAATAAATAAAGATAATAAACTATGGTTAAAATCAGTGTTATTTTAGTATTATTTGTCTAGTATCATAGTGTTTATCAATATTTTGAATTAACTTTTATTTTATTCTATTTAATTCTATTAATTATTTTAATTTGAGTTAACTATAATAACTAGAATTTATTTATCTATTTTTCCTCATAGTTTTGACAAAACAGACATCAAATAAAATTGAGTAGAATAAATAAAACTAATAAACTATCAGTGTTAGTATTATTTGCATACTATAATATTGTATACTATTTATTATTTATTAAAATAAATGTTTTTTAAAATAAAACATTTTTTATTTGAGACAAATGTATTTATTATTTTATAATATATATATATATATATATATATTTTATTCATTCATTCATTCATTTTTTAAATATGTATGATTTATTCGTTTTATTTTTATATATTTTTTATTCATATTATTTTCATTAATTTATATATTATTATAATTTTTATATAATTTTGGTATTTCAACTTTTTTTCAGTTAGTCGTCAGGGCTACACTTTTGTTTTTCATTTAATATTTATTTTTTTAAATTTTATTTCAGCTGTTTTTGCAAAACAAAAACATGTTTAATAGTTTTAGTTTAGTTGGCAGTAACAACACTGGTTAAAATATGGTTTTATCAGTGCATTTTCATACACGACAATATATTTGAACTGATTTAATGCCAGTGAACATCAGTTCTCATTACAGCTGTTGTTTTCACCTTGTGTTCATAATGTTAAGATGTGATGGGAAATATTCAAAGTAACTGTAGGAGGCACACTTTTAGGAGTTTTCTGAGAAGCGTTTGCCTCCACAGACAGCAGTAGATGTCTCCAGAGCGTGTGTTGTCCCATCATGCTCAGTCCTGACTGCGGATCGTCACACTGATTGGCTTTATTAGTGTAACACACATAAAGCTGCCGCTGTCACTGAGCTCTGCATCAGGATTAATGTCAGTGCATCTGATTTGAGGAAGTTTATTGCATCTGGCCCCTGAAAATCTGCCTTCAGTCATTTGCTTAAAGTTAATTACACATCAGTCTTATCTCATTACGGAGGACAAACAGCGTGTCAGACTGATCAGCGTCTGTGACTCGTCTTTTCTTCACGGCAGATGAGTTTCTGTTTTTGCACACAATGGTTTGTGTTTGGCAGGAGCAGTGTTGTTTAGGAGGGAGTCGTTCTGGAATTTAGTGTGTTACTGTTTGAAATGCAAATTTGCTGGTGTTATTTTCCTACCGCAATCTTATAAAAAGTATAATGCATAAATATAAATATTGTGATATTTATAATATTAATAAAAAAAATTAAGAATGAATTAAATTTATATTTTTATATTAATGTATTAAATTATTTTATTAACTTATATTTTAAAAGTTAAAAATAATTGAATAAATTATATAAAATATTTAAAAATATAAATATTATAAATATATGTAATATAAATAATTGAATATATTTTTAATAAATCTTTGTAGAAATGTATACAATTATTTAAACTTATATTTATGTATTTAAACGTGTATATGTGTATATATATTTGTGTGTGTGTGTGTATATACAGTGGGGCAAAAAAGTATTTAGTCAGCCACCAATTGTGCAAGTTCTCCCAAGGTGGCTGACTAAATACTTTTTTCCCCCACTGTATATATAATTTGTCAAATTGTTCCAGAATATCTTTTAAAAAGATCAGTTGATTGACGGATATTTAGATAAATTAAGACTGCCAAAGTTAACGAATAAACATTTGAGAATAATAATAATAACATTATTGGTTTAAAGTAAAAATGTTAATTTTCAGTTTAGAGGATTTCTGTTGATAATAATAATAATAGAATTATAATGAATTATTATTATCATTTTGTCTTTTTATTATTTGGTTCAAAATAAAACTGTTAATTTTCAGCTTAGATATTTTTTTTGTTGTTGTTGATGTTGATGATGATAATTGCTTATTATTGGTTTAAAGTAAAAATGTAAATTTTTAGTTTAGATAATTTCTATTGATAATAATAATAGAATTATAATGAATTGTTATTATTGTTATTATATTGTCTTTTTATTATTTGGTTCAAAGTCAAAATATTTTGAGTTTAGGTAATTTGCCAATAATAATAATTAATATAATAATAATAATTTACAATAAACTATTTGTAGCAGTAAAGTAAAGTGTAATTACTGTTTGTTTGTTTGTTTGTTTACAATAATATTTTTTTCTATTTGTTCTATTTATTTGTTATTTATTGAATTGAATTTATTTACGATACTGTTGTTTGTTTGATTGTTCATTTATAATTGTTTGTGTATTTGTTTGGTTATTAGTTTATACTTATTTATGTTTATTTGTTTAATTATTTATTTTTAACTTTATAATATCTGATCATGTCTGAGAGCATATTCACAGTTTGAAAGCTCAACATAACCCAAGTTGTAGTATTTTGAAAAGCGAATGTCAGAGTGTCTCGTGTGAAAGATGCTGAAAGCTGAAAGCACACCTGATTTTGGCGGCATCTACAGCTAGACTTCGTTGCATTTGAAGTATTGTGGAGAGAGGAGAGATTGACGGCTGATTTGGCGTCCTAAAACACAGAGTCTGACCCGGGACAGAGTTACGCTCACCCTCCCCGCAGGAGGAAATGGGGAGCAATCCATAAAGAAATAATAACAGAGCTGCAGAGCGTTTCCATCAGCCTGTTTAATGCTCTCAGAGGTGCACAGACGGATCTTGACGTTTGAGTTTGCACTGAAAGCTTTGTGGTCCCCCCTCCTCCGCTTCTAGACGCTAGTCATTCCTGTATTAACACTTATCTTTTATATTTTACAAAATAATGGACATATATATATATATATATACTTAGATGATTTAAAAGTTTTTATATAATTTTAAATTTAAATGTATATATTTGTAAACAATTTTATATTAAATGTATATATTTTAAAATGTATTCATTTTGTTAAATTACTTTTTAGTCTTTTTACACTTTTTACATATTTTTACATTATTATATTTTAATTTGTGTTTATGTATTTTAAAATATTTTTATATTAAATTATTTTTTATTTTTTATTTATCTTTTATTATTTTAAAAATATTTTAATATAAATGTATGCATTTTAAAATATTTATATTTAATTTAATTCATATGTATATTTTATATTAATTTATTACTGTATTTTAAACTTATATTTGTTTTAAAATATTGTTTTTGTGTTTGTATTTTATTTTTTTATGATAATTGAATTTATATTTATTTTAATATTTATTAAATTATTTTATATTTATATATTTTATTATTTTAAAAATATTTTAATATAAATTTATGCATTTTAAAATAATTATATTTAATTTAATTCATATGTATATTTTATATTAATTTATTACAGTATTTTAAACATTTGTTTTAAAATATTTTTTTGTGTTTGTATTTTATTTTTTATGATAATTTAATTTATATTTATTTTAATATTTATTAAATTATTTGTTATTTTATATTTATCTTTTATTTAAAAATATTTTAATATGAATGCATGCATTTTAAAATATTTATATTTAATTTAATTCATATGTATATTTTATATTAATTTATTACAGTATTTTAAACTTATATTTGTTTTAAAATATTGTTTTTGTTTATTTTATTTTTTATGATAATTAAATTTATATTTATTTTAATATTTATTAAATTATTTTATATTTATATATTTTATTATTTTAAAAATATTTTAATATAAATGTATGCATTTAAAAATATTTATATTTAATTTAATTCATATGTATATTTTATATTAATTTATTACAGTATTTTAAACTTATATTTGTTTTAAAATATTGTTTTTGTTTATTTTATTTTTTATGATAATTAAATTTATATTTATTTTAATATTTATTAAATTATTTTATATTTATATATTTTATTATTTTAAAAATATTTTAATATAAATGTATGCATTTTAAAATATTTATTTAATTTAATTCATATGTATATTTTATATTAATTTATTACAATATTTTAAACTTATATTTATTTGTAAAACATTTATATTAATTTAATTAATATTTTTATATTTCATATTAAACTGTTAAGAATAATGCCTAATCATGACAACATAATAGTGGACCAGAATTAACTCTAAAATATCAAGAGAGAAAAATAAAAACAGGGCAAAGCAGGAAATGTGACACCAGATCACAGACTGAGCTCAGAGGTTGTGCCCTCAGTCGAGTCGAGCTATAATTTAAGCGAATAGGCCCTTCAATCTCCCCAGATCCACCTTATTAAAGCAAATAAGCACCGCCAACATGTGCATTCAATTGCTGCCATTTTCCCCCATTAGATGAACAGGAGGAGAGGCTCGTGACAGGCCTCGTTTGGAGGCGTGGACTTGCATATTTTACAACACCAAACACTGGCCACGACAGCGCAGACGCTTTCATCCACAGCGACTCAGTAGACGTTTATGATTAAAAGCATTAGTGCAGGTGTTGATTTATGGGCTTGTGACTGCGTGTATGTGGCTGCTTTCGTGAGCAAGGCTATTTGTAGTTTTGAATGTATTTACTATAGCATCAAATATTCAGTTTAATGCTGTTTTGCTCATTTCTCTCTTTTTATTTTCTTTGCAGCTAGTAAACACTTTCCCTAGATCCCCACAGTTAAAACAGTTCATTAGTGGAGTTCGCTAAGTTAAGAAGTAATGATCATTATTACTATTGCTAATATTTAAGGGTAATTTTGGAACAAGCTTCTAAGTATTAAACTTATAAGATAAAATAAAATACAAGTAAATAAACGTTAACTGAAATAAAATAAAATATAAAAAAACTTAAACTTTTTTCAAGCTGTTGCAGATGTAACATTGATTACTAATTTTAGGATTCATTTATGAGTTCACACTGAATGCTTTGTCATTTTTGTATTAACAAATCTAATCTTTTATATTGTGCAAAACAGTGGTTAACATGTATATTTATATTTAGATATTTAACAAAATTATATATATATATATATA